ATTAGGCCTCCACTAGCCTGCCTTCTTTTCCATAAAAGAAAGTACATTGAGGTGCAGAAAGCCATAGGCAGTGTGTAACTTTTATATTCCTATTTGGCACAGCTGTGTTATGCATGGAAATCTCCCCTTTGCATGGAGTTGATTTTTTTTTCCTGTTATAAATAGTTATGTTTTCCCATATTCAACTTTAGTAATGGATTATTACTTTTTCAAACAGGTATCAGCTATGGGGAAAAAATCAGAGACTAATGGTAAGTAATTCTAATTATATACCTGCATATGAATTGCCATGTTTTCCCACAGACATATCTGTGCTTTAAAATTCTACAGCAGTTAATGGTGATGTAAAAATACCCTTTTTGCCTTTGCATTTCAAAAGCTCCATTGCAATATCATCTAAACATGAATGTTTGAGAAATAAACCTAAATCATCTTTCTAGGAGGACTGAGGACTAGCGGTGCTCCAGCCGTGTTTGCAAAGCCTTGCTCAAGTGACGTGCGTAGCATGTTTGCTGGAGCCAGAGAGTGTCATTAATCTGTGTGAGGTCCAAGGAATGGGATGGTCATTTAACTAATTACAGCAAATGCAAGGCAAATGAAAGGCTTTTTTAAAGGCTGCAGCAGCAATGGCTATGCCTTTTGCAAGCGGAGAGGGGGATTCCAAAAAGCGAGGCTGTTGCAGCAACATTATTTGAGGAGAAATGGAAGATTTCAGTACTGTTGAGAATGAGCCCTGCATCTGATTTTAAACACTGTCACTGGGTGATGGTGAAGCCTGTTGAAAATTCAGTAGTGTTGATTTTTAAAAATAATTCTTCTGTCTGGTTGTGAGTCTCATGTATTCCTGACTCACACTGGACTGGAGTTCAAACACACTCAACAGCAGCACTGCTTTTGCTGGAGCTGTGCATTGGTGTTTTCTCAAGACAAAGAGTCTTACTACTATTCTTTTGAGGCTATTAGTTTGAGAAACAAAACATGGTTTTACAGAAAGAAATAAGCAAAATTACCCTCCTAGCTTTTTAAATTTTTATTTTAATCTAAACCACTACAAATAAAACCAGCTAAAGGAATTATGTGCCCAAGGACCAATAGGGAAGACTGGGCAGTTTAATAGCTTTAAAGGTACCTTGCAGCATCTCTCTACACTTCACTAGGAATTAAATGATCAAATACAGAAAAACTTACGGTTTTCTACACATTAATAAGTGCACACATTTTTCTCCACATTTGCATGTGAAGCCAGAGGTACGATATGCCTGTGAACTTTTCTTACCAGTTCAGAGTCATGCGAAATGGAATGGTCTTCCTCCTCCTCTTCTTTCATAAACCGAGCTGTTAGGAGAGGCTTTCAGGCTCGCTCAGCGTTAGCACAGACACCCCCCCATGCGTGGCCGGGGGGAGCCTTGGCTGCAGCACCCCCCACGTTCCCGAGTGGGAACCTCTCCCTCAGCTCCCCCTGAGCTGCCGCCCCGGGGTGTCGGAGGCAAGAGAGGTGAAATCCTGCTTGTCCTCTTGGAGACCACCTCTGAGCAGCCCCAGGATGCCAGCACAGCAGCATCCAGCTTCTGTCCTGCCTTCTTACATGCTGGGTGTTAATCTAGAGCCATGCCTTCTCTATTTTAGAGGTACATTTGGGTTATTTCAAGCCATTTTTAATCTTTCTCTTTCTCAGCAGGTTTGAGACAATTTGAGAAAGAACCATAGAAGGCCACTAAAGACGCTGGACCAATCAGTTGGGGAAAAAAAAAGAAAAAAAAAAAAAGGAATAAGTGCTAAATTGTTCTTTTTATATTTATGTTTATTTACCAAAATGTCTTTTTTGCATTATCCCAGTTAAAACCATGTATATTAGCACTGTATTTAATAATCAGTCTAGACATTCATCATAATAGTACTGCCTTTGCACAAGAGCCTTTATTCCTAAAGAAACCCATGCTGTGAAATATATAGACTCTCCTACTGATAGTCATAACTAACTATGTATCTGAACAGTGATTTCAACTGGCATAAGAAGTCAACCCAAAATGCATGTAAAGTGAAGTTGCTTGAGAAAGGTGTGCAGTAAACCTATAAAAACAATGGTTACTTTTGTAATACAGAAGTCTTTCTTTCTGCACTTTAGACTAAGGCATGGAAGAAATATCTTTAGTTGACAATGTAATATTTTCTGTAAGTTGCCCATGTCATGAGAAATACTGCATCAATAACGTGTTTTAATTTTTTTGTTTTATACTTTTTTTTTTAAGTATCAATTTTTCCATTCTAGTTTAAGTTAATACCTGAATTTGGATGACTATGTTAGCTGACAGCGGTACTGATATTTCTTTTTGTTGTTAGTGACTAGTAATTGAATGCAATTTAGAATATATACACACATAGCTTTACAAAGTTTAGCCTAAAGGCACTACTAATGGTAGAATGCTTTAATACGTGCTAGAGTACTATATTTAGTAATAAACATACATAATTAGCCAATATCACAGCTTAAAAAAATAAAGACAAAATCACACACTTTTCTATAGTAAGATTTCATAATTGCTATTAGAGGTATGGTGAGATAAGTATTAAAAAATTTTAAATGTCAGTTGCCCAGTAACGGGTAATTAAAAAGAAAGTATAGTTTTTAAAAGAGGAAAAGGTAAAGGTATAGAGGGTCAAAAATAGGACACTTGTATAAAACATTGTAGTTTAATTTATATAAAACTACCATAATTAAAAAGAAAAAAAAAAACTAAACACAGTTGGAGCTTGTTTCAAATGACTGTACACTAAATCTTGCCATCCATCATTGCTGTACACTAAGTCCACCTAATATGAAGTAAACCTCTATCTTTATAGTGCTTCTTTTTAACTCTCTCCCGAATATCTTATTTACAGATGTTTTCATTTGTATATAGTAAACACATGGCTATAAGACGTCAGCTTGGTTTGAATTTATATGCCATACAGTTTAGCATTTACATCCTACAGTGTATGGGTGGCATAAACTGAGCAACTGAAGTAGCCCCTGAGCATGTTTTTAACAGCTTTGTTGTGCGTCAGAACTACCAGGTTCTCCCTTTTCACCACTTCCATCTCTTCCAGCATCTGACTTCTTCCTAAAGAAGAATAATGTTTTATTTCAATCCAAAGATGAGCTCTCCTGCTTGGCTGAAACATCTTGTTTACATGTAGAGATGCACATAGTTATCTGTAGGGGGTGAAACTGTGCCTGACATTGTCTGTGACTTGTCATGTTTTTTGTTTGGGGGTTTTGTAAACACTCCTCTGAGTCTTTCAAATACATCCGATAGCTGCAATAAAAATGATTTGTTCAAACAATGTATTCTGAAACTGCATCCACAATAAATGGAATATTTCCATCAGCAGCCCCGTTTGTTAATGAGTAGGAATGAGCCAGTTGTTACAACTGGGGTAGGAATTGTGCTAAGGCCATGTAAGATGAGGTATCGTTGCAAAGAAGCTTGAAGGAAGTTGCTCCTGATGTACTATCCTTCAACGTACAGCCAAGTCATAAAATCAGCAGCTTTAACCTACGTACTCTTAAGGGGGATGTGGGAATGGGGGGTGGAAATCTTATTTGTCCCTATCAGTACAAGACAGGAGCTGTGCATCATCCAGAAGTCAGCGTGCTCAGCAAAGTAGGTTCTGACCTGGTGGTACAGCCATCTGCTTCTCTGTTTTGAAAAATGTTTTCTGTGTGAGAGCTGTCATGTTTCTTTGGTCTACCTTGGTGGGATGAGCTTCCAGGCTTGGATGATCACAGGGACCAAGACCGGGGAGCTGCTGGCTCTCCTATCATCCTCCCATCTCCGCATTTTTGTTCTAATGGCAGAACAGCACATAATGCCCTGCTCTAACCAGGTCATGGTCATCTGAAAGAAGCCCCCGCAAGCTGCTGCCAGTTCCACGGGAAGCAATGGGAAGGCTGTAGCAAACACAGCTTTCTGAACTACTGGGGGGAAAGTAATTGGATGCTGCCTAATTTAACCTGAAAAGAGCTTGTATGCTTGAAAGTGTGCCTGGTCTCCTGCCTCACACTGACTGACTACGTTGCTACGTTTCTCTGAAAGCTTTGCTGAAGTGATGCTTTTACTTGTTGATGTGAATATGTTTCTTTTGCTCGTGGTTTTTGTCTTTTCTGAGAGTATGGAAGCGTGCTGGGCAGAGTCTTACTTTTAGGAAATACTGTAAAGTGGTGCTGTCACGGTTTGTTCCCACCAGCTGGCACCACCTCCTGGCAGAATTCACCAAAGACATGTCCCAGTGGCTGACTCAGCAATGATGCAAGTTTTTTTTTGGTGTCTTGATACCATTATGAGGTGATGATTTTTTAGACAATACCAAGTTGTCTCCTTAGTTTCTGGTCATGCTTTCCTGCAGCTCACTCAGCATCCTAGCCAGACTTTCTCGTCAGTGTGCAGAACGCCCCAAAACAGCCTCTCTCAAGCCTGCCTTTGCTTTGGCCTAGGATTATCTACCCGGAAATAGTTTAAAGCAATTTTGAGTATACCTCACGGTTTGATTTAGTGTTTTTAAAGAGAAGTTTTTCTATGTTTTCCTTAGATAAAGCCAGCCCTTGTCTCGATATAGTGTTATGAATGATGCCAGCAGAGTTGCAAATATCTAATTTTGTTTGAAACTTCCAGAGTAAGTCAATCTGATTTTGCAGGTAGCCCTTCTGTTTGGCTGTGTGGATTTTTATGTGTTTTCACTGCATATGATCCCATCTTCAACTTTTCACCACTAATCACACCAGTTCAATTTCTAGGTGTTCAGAGGGAGGGCTGCATGAGGTAATAGGTACAACTTTGTTCTTTAAGTTCTAGCTACAGCACGATCCTGTTTGATGCATAAGCCACAAAGCAGTCTCTCTCTATTGTCCTTTTACAGGAATTATAAAAGCTCATTTCTATCTGTATTAAAAAACAAAACAAAACAGACTTCAGCCATGTTTTTATAACTAATTGCATGAAGTGATATAAGCACTACACTGGTTTTGTTGTTATTCAAACTTTATTAATATAAAATTTTAAAGCATTAGAGATTTACACTATAAAAATCACAACTATGTAAAAAGCAAGGTAATTAAAGACAGCATTCCTTGACAGCAACTCATGAGCCAGTATGACTGACTACACTGGAAATAACATACAAAGAATCATGTAAGTAACCAGAGTTTTCTGTTAAACATGTCTTTAATTAAGGAAGACAAGGAAAAAAGAAAATGAAGAGACATTGTCTTTTTACTATTAATCAAAACCAGATTTCTGCTAACCATCTTTACAAAACTCACTCCTACTGATGCATTCTTATAGCAGCTAGTGATCTCCTCCTGAAACAGGAGGACAAGTAACTGCTTGTAATGATTGTCTAGTACAGAAGAAGAAATCAAGACCGAGCTACATCTTCTAATCTGGAAGGCGTTATACAGAGGCCTTGCAGAAGCCACTGGCATTAATATTCTGCTTTGAATGGGTAGTCCTTGTGATTAACGGCTCTGAGAAGAGAAAGACCTGGTTATTTAATTATTGTAGAAAATATCTTCAGCAGCATTTCCCTACTGCAGTCTCCCTCCCCCACAGCCACTGTACTCAAGTTTTGCTGTTGTCGTCAATTTGAACACAGGCTTGTGAACAAGCATATGCAACACCAAGATGCTGAAGGGAATGCCTTTAAATGAATCTCCCTCCCAGTATCAGTTCCAGGATATCTCGTTACCTGGGGTCCAGGGTTTAAGATTTGACCTCTCCCTGGTTTTGGTCATATATGTTTTCAAGATACGGGGGATGAAAATACAGCTAGAGATAGGCCTACTGGAGAATAAGGATAATAAGGAACATACTGGAGCACTGGAACTGCCCTCCAGTTCTTGTTAAAGCTGAGGATGACATCCATCTCCTTTTTAGACAGTTCAAAGTCAAACACCTAGAGGGAAATAAAAAATAAATACAATGGGCTTTCTTCTTAGGTTCATGAGTATTTAACTACTAAGTGTGCTTCGTGCATTTACAACCTGAGGTAGGAACATACTGCATCCACACTAAGCATAGTTAAGAAATCCTCTTACTTCTCAGCCAATTTACCCTTGAAGTAATCAAGATAGTCCTTTTGTCTCTGAGGTGCTGTTCATAGCAATGTCTTACAGTTCTGGGTGGTTGAATGCAAATCTCACTGCAGCTTGTGTTGTAACACACAGACAAAAAACTTATGGTGCTAAGGATGGATTACTCGATGGGTCACAAATACTGGAACTAGCAGTAAATATTTCTGCTACAAGAGAGAACTAGGGGGTACCAACTGAAATACTTGTCTCACAGTTAATCAGTCATCTAAGAATTCTTGCTGGTGGTTCAGGGCAGAAATAAGTCCAAAATGTAGCAGCATGAATTGAACATAACACAGAGATGCTGTCTAAGTTGCCAGGCCTTATGAGCAAACATCCAGCTGAATCTCCCTGCCAAGGGAACCGCAGCCTCAAAGTGAGATGTGAATCATAACAGGTCTGGTGTTTACAGTTTGTTCCTTTACACCCGAAAGAGGGGCTCACTAAGCATTTCCCAGAGGGCAAGTCCAAAACTGGGGTTCCCTTTCCAAGGCAGCAGAGCTTGGACCACCCTGGTGTAACCCATTCCTCTCCTGTCAGGAAAAAAATGCTTTTCCCCAGAGAACAAGTGCAGATGGTTAGGTAGTGCTGAGCCCTAGCCTTTATATCTCTGCACTCCCCTTCCAGTGCTTCTTAGGTCCTGCTTGGAAACATGGGGGAGATAAAGGTGTGGGTGCCTGGCCTGTGTAAAAAGGTAGCAGCAGTACCAATGGAAATTTCACCTTGATATTTTCCTCAACACGCTGTAGTTTGTCAGACTTGGGAATGACAATCACTTCTCTTTGGATAAGAAACCGGATCAGAACCTAGGAAAGGACAAGGAGGAGTGTGAACACAGGGGTACCAGGAAATCTGTTAAATGCATTTTGTGGGGTTTTGTTTGTTTGTTTGTTTGTTTGTTTTTCCCTCCATGCACAGACCAATTTCTTTTCCTACAATGATGTTAACTCTCTGGAAAACTTTAGCAGTTTTCACGCAGGAGTTTGATGTGCCAGCATTTGCTCGCAGTCTACTGACAAACTATAATTGTTTCTGGCCCATGTTGTTTCTACATCCTGGCTTCTCCAGGATTTGTTTTGTTTTCATTTAGCATAGGAGGGCAGGAGAAAAATGATGCTTCTTGCTTGCATTATACGGGTGCTCAGACCAAATAAGCATAATGATACTGCAGATTATTTTGGGCTCACGGGTAAGTACCTCACCTAGGTTAAGCTTTTTGAAGTCTTTAAAAGGAAAATCATTATTTATATATTTTCAAAGTTTCATCCCTTCAAAAGAGGACTGTTACATACAATTTTTTGTCCTGCTCTACCCATCTTAAACCATCTTAAAATATGACTGCGGTTGGTATCTTGTGAATGTGGGGTTTGTTTGAAGTGCGGTTTCTGCACACCCTGGCCAAGAACTCATTTGTGTGACTAGCAACTAATAGAGAAAAAACTTCATCTTGAGTAATCAAGCAACTCTCAGTGATTCTTTGTGAAAACAAGCAATCGGGGAGCAATCAAATAAGTCTGCAAATTACAGGACTTCTCTGAAGAATAATTTAGCTAACTTGTCTGGAGAGAAGAATAACAAATTGGCTTGGTGATTTGTAAATAACCCTCAGAGCAAAGGAGTTCTCCAGGGGCAAGCACTTCTTTCCAGGAGCAGAAGAAATCTCCCTAGGAAGGGGAACACCTGAGGAAAGCACGTACCAGTGCTTATCGGCCCCCACCCACCCCAAACCCTGCACTCAAGACCTCTTAGAAAATACCTGTTAATTCGTATGAATGCTGGTAAGAACTGGGGCAGTATGAAGAGTCAAGTGTCAGTTCATCCCCATTATACTGTATCTCTAGAGAAGGCAGCATCTGCTAAGACTGGCCAACAGCCTACAAAAATGTCTGAGGAGGAGGAATAGCTTGCCCTGATAACCCCACTTACCTGGGCAGGGGTTTTATGATGTCTAACTGCAATCTCTTTAATCCGGGGATCATCCAGCAGCACAGGTTCCCCTGGCTTGGCCCTATTAGAAAGAAAAGCCAGGATATTGATGGTAGAAAGATATTAGCCTGCCTGCAGGAAGCCTGACATTTTGTGTGAAATAATCTGCAACAAAGCAACAGCACTTTTCTCATGATACCTGCATTATTTATACCATTTGCCTCAAAGAATCAAGTTGCAAATGCACTGTTTTGAGTACAGAGAGACTGCGATGCTTTCTTACCATGGGCGGTTAGGAGAGCCAAGGGGGCTGTATGCAGTCACAGCAATCCCTTTGGATTTACAATACTTGATCAACTTTTCCTGGGTTAGGTATGGATGACATTCGATCTGCAAGCATGGAAACATAGTGGTTGACACAGGGGCAGACTGCACTGGGCTCCAGAGCACAACATTTTAATTTCTCTTGGGTCACAGAAAATGTGAAGAAGACTCCAAATATCATGATTAAAATCTCTTATAAAAAAAGTTATTCATGTCACATCAATATCTAGAGCCCTGGCACAGAGAACATGGTTTCTTCTTGCTACATATTACACAAAGAGAGTAAGAAATAGGTAAGAAGAGTGAAAGTGCTATTTATGTCAGGAATGGGGGAGATCAGTTTTCCTGGACTACTGCAGAGCAGGATTGCATCTCAGAGGGGCAGCTCAGAATACCTGAAGTTTATCTTCTGCTCTGAGTCACCCAAGCTCTGCTCTCCTCTCCTCAGGGAGTCTCTCCAATTCCTGAAGAATCCTGGGGAGATGAGCTTCCCTAGGTTAGCTCAGATCATGTTGGGACCAGACATTCGGGCAAGATGTCCTTTAACTGGAAACAACGGGAGCCTACACAGCAATGCTGCTCAGCTGGCCACCAGCCATAGTCCGACCACAGGGCTATGGCTATGCTGCATAACGTGGCACCACACAGCTACCCAGCTGTTTCTAAATGCTATAGCTTTGCTACCAGGCATGGTGACATGAAATCCATGTACAGCAGTTTATTCAGGTCTGAGCTAGATTAGGCAGCTACTTAACAACAGTGAACTGCACAGGCACACCCATGGAGAAGCAAACTGGAGTCAAAGCCTGAAGTTCTTTAAATTGTTGAATTTGGTGCAGCTTTTAACACAGGGTAGTTGGGTCCATCCCCACCAGAAATTTATAACACTCGATAAAATCTTTCCAAGTCCTACGTCCCCCTTGTGCTAAGCCTGGCTGGTGCAAACACTAGTCCCTAACCTGGCACTGCAGCACAGGGCCTGCACAGGACCCAGTGTGGGGATTTCCATGGATATTCCCCAACCAGCAGAGATGGGCATTAAGCACCCTCAGCTGAGTGCAAAGAAGTCACATGTAGAAGAACGTCAGAAGTTCCTGATGCCCCGGTGTCCTGTGATTTTGTTCATGAGGTATGTGGTGAGAATTTGTTATATAACTAAACTTCAACTCTCCTTTTTTAATGAAGCCCAGTGAAATGGTTTATTTTACATTGAAAAATAAGTAAATCCATTGAATGAGTTAGAGTGTTTCTGTACATACCCATGCCTGTGCAGTAGTTTGCAGTGGGGATTTGCTGGTTATCCCAGGGCTGGAAGAAATGGGTCTGCGGCAACTTGGGCTGTGATAGTAGTGGTAGTAGTAGTGGTAGTACTTGGGAGTGTGAAAGAGGACGTAGCAGAAAGTCGCAAGGACTTATACAAGGTAATTGATATTTTCACTATTTTCCACTGTCTAAAAATTAAATATTCTCATCTGTTTCATATTACTCTGATATGCATAATCCATACTGTTTTGTATGATATTTCTCTCAAATCTCCACTGCATTATATATACACAAATCTACCAAAAATTTTTCTTTTGAGATCCTTGTCAGCTAAAAACCATCAGGACTGACACCATACTGAAGCCTTGCATATCACAGGCAGAACTGACTTGAAGGGGTTTTCAGATGATCAGAGATACCTTGGGCTTTGCAAGATCTTTCCATGGCACCAAAACTATTTAAAGGTCATGGCAGAAGTCAGTTTTAGAGCTGAAGTGTAGCATGAATATATTTAGGCATATTTCAAGGTTAGTTGACATCAATTGAAATGAAGAGCTTACCTGGTTATTTACTGGCTTGTATTTCAATGTCGGCTTGTTCAAGATTCTTTCAACCTGCTCATGGTTAAAGTTGGAAATACCAATGGCTTTTACCAGACCGCAGTCCACCAGTTCTTCCATGGCCTAATGAGTAAGGTCAACCAATACATGTTTATGAGTGGTATTACTGACAACTACACTATTTTATTTTCCTAAAGTCAGTGACAAACCAACAAACAACTCACATTTCGTTTAAATAACAGTATCTCAAATCATACAAAGAAATAATCTTTGCAACTTGTATTACCTGTATGCTTTAGGTCCCACTGCAGATGGGAAAGTAATATAAGAATGGCTTAGCAAACACTTCTGTAGTGGGAAGTGAAATTCTTTTGCTTTGGCTTCTTTGGGGGTCATTTTACCAGAGCTAAAAAAACAAGGGAGACCCAGCCACTTCCTCCCCTGCCTGCACAATACCTCTGAGTTTGCAGAACACAGCAGGAAGGATGTTAGCTTAAACTTAGTTACCTCAAAATATTTTCTTGCAACTGTAATCTGCTATTATGGAGAAAACTATTAATTCCCAGAGCTGCAACATCACAGAGGTGCAGGTAGCAGGAGCAGACCTTGAATCTTTTCAGTCCATGAAGAAAGGAAGATTGAAGAACAGCCTGAGATGCTGATGCCCAACGCTGAAAAGTGTGAGAATTCCCTATCTGCATGAAGCACCCAGTAAATTAACAGGCACACCTGGATTAATCTATGCTTTGGTTCTACTGTTGTGTGTATTCAGATATTACTTTAGTGACAGCATCTCCTCTTTAGTCTTAGTAAAGACATAACACTCTTGCTCCCCAAAACAAGAGGCAGCAGCAGCAGCTCTGCTCATTCCGGTCACGAAATACGATTTTGTGTGATTACCCTCCATACCCAAACCTATCCTTTAATTTCACCATGAATGAAGATCTCTGCTCCATCTTTAGTGCTGACACTTGTTCTAAAAATCAAACATTTACTTACCTCCCAAGTGTCCAGAAAATCTGTATCACTGGGAATACTCATACCCTTGTCATCCACAGGATGCAATTCTTCACCAGCCTGTTATTTCAAGGCAGATAATACACAGACTTTTTTTAAGAGTTGAATTTCCTACTGTTTACTAGCACTTCTGACTAGATTTATAGGCAGGAAGTTAGCATGTTGTTTAAATATATTACATAACTAAAAATTATGCATATTCATCAGTATTCTCTTTTGGACGAGGGCCATGTTTCTACAAATTAATCCCTGCATACATAGAATGGGGATTAGTAGTAATTATGTAATTTAGGCAGATCTCGAGAGAAGGGAACAGACATTCCCCTGCCTTTATTCTCGAGTTTCAATCTATTTTACACAGGTGTAGACTGGAGGAAAAAAGAAACATGTTTTTTCTGCGCTGTGCTTCATTTTTCACTGTTGGTTACGCCAGATCAAGCCAACATCTCCAAGACCTGGTATGTTCACACAGTTCTGGCCCAGCAGAAGGCCACGATCCCAAACTGGTCCATTTTACACCATCCTGTGTTGGTTACAGTTCCCCTGAAGACCCAAAGGGACCATTAGCAGCACTCCTACCTATGGCTATCTCACTCCAACAGGCGTGGAAAGCCAGACCCACATGCTAAAACATGTCACCCCCTAGTTAGTGACTGAATGCTTGCTGCCATGAGGTTCAGGGAGGAGCCAAACGAACCGTAGCATATCCCAGCTGCATAATGAAGATGGTCACAGCATAGGTGAGAGACTGCACCATGTTTCTAGCCAGGTAAGGAGAAGAGGGATATAGAGCAGGACTACCTTGAATCCCATAGGGAAGTGTATCAGGTAGAGGTCAAGGTACTCCAGTTGCAGTGCAGCGAGGCTCTTCTTACAAGCTACCTTAACCAAGGACCTCTCGTGAAATGTGTTCCACAACTGTGGGAAGAAATCAAGTCCGACCGTGACTCCACAGCTTCCAGAGGACAGAAGCTTCTCTGGTCTGGGAGGACAGATTCCTCCCCACCTACTCAGTGTACACTGAAGACAAGGATGCTAATATTTTAATGGTAAGGTAGGACAAACATACCACAAATAAGGGAGTCAGTAGGGAAGGTAGACAGTCGGTATTCCTACTTATGAAAAGAGATTCTCAAAAATAAATGTAACACTGCCAGATATATCTGACACAGAAAAGCTGTGTTAGAACTTATTTTTTCTTCCAGGCTAAATTTTGAGTCTTGAGAGGCTCACAGCTACCCTCCTTCTCCCTTTTAACTGAACACAGTGAGAACTGCTGTCAACTTTACTTTATTTTTGAACTGAAAATTCAAGTCATTTAAATAGAAGAACCTGCAAGTATTACTCAAATTAAACCTGTTCTTCAAGAAAAATAAAAAATATGTGGAAAAGCTTAGTTATATTCATTGTTTTCTGGTTTTACTGGTGAAAACCCCAAGTCATAAGGTTTTTTTTAGTTGAAGTGGTTTAACTTTTTGGCAAAGAGCATTGCTGAGACAAGTGGATGAGATGAAGGAGTGAAGTAAATACATGTAAAATACTTCAGACTGAATTCCCATACTTTAATTTCTATTCCCTTTCTGGCTTACATTTTGTACATGACACCATTTTAAAATGTCTTGCACACCAATAAATAAGTAGCACAGCACCTTTAAATTCAGACTTCTGTCTTGCCTTTTTTTTTTTTTTCCTGGTCTTCTGAGGATGCGTGCAAATGAACCTTCAGTATAATTAAGTGATTTAATAGATGCAAGGAAATGATTAGATCATCAACAACCATGGTACCTTTCCTAAACTGTCAGTGGTTCCTGATAAAGCTCAGTCCAAATTGCAAATAAAGGATAGAATTTATAGTGTATAACAAGACAACCGTGAAGTGACTGTCTGAGAAGGGAATAGGTCCTTATCTTACCTTACAGATGGAACAAGGGTTTCTCTCTAAGAAAAGCTAAATGCCCTAATAACCCTGCATCCTTGTACCTTAGTGACAATAAAGAGGTCTTCTCGTTGCACAGCCCCCTCCTTGATCTTCTGCTGGATTGCATTCCCTATTTCCTTTTCATTCTGGTAGAAATAGGCACAGTCAAAGAGGCGATAGCCTGCATCAATAGCAAACCTCACCACCTCTTCCACTTTTCCCGGAGGAGCCTGAAAACAAACACAATCAAACCATGAGTATTTCCAGGGCCTTCTGCCCGTGCCTGCTGCTGTGACAGCTCCGCAAACTCCCTGTTCCCTTGTCCCCTACATCTAAACTGTTTCAATCTTCCAGGGAAACAGCATTTTTACAGGGAAAGGAAACAGAGCAGAAAGCAGTTAGTTTCTGTGAGACATTTTAACTCAGACATTTCCAGCAGCATAGTGTCCAGCATCCTTTCCCCTTACTTGCTCTCAGCGTTGCCCAAGAATTTTCACCAGTTTACCTTCCCCACGAAAGCAGTTTCGTGGCTCAGGGCTCCCATCAGCCCGCCGTGACCCCCCACCAGGGCTGCGAGCAGCAACTGCCGGGCCCGCAGTCTGCTTTTGTTTCTGTTTGTTGTTTTTTTCTTCTGCTTCCCTGCCCCCTTTTTTTTATTTTATTTTATTTTTTTCCCACGCCCCCCTCCCCCCCCCCCCCCCCCCTTGTTCAGCCCCTAACTTTTGGTTTTTTTCCCTTTTTTCCTTTTTTCTTTGCTTTTCGCTCCCTGATTCCTCCTCCACCCCCCCACCCCCCCACCCCCCCCCCCCCGCCTCCCCGGCCTGGCAGCCCGCCCGGTTACACAAGCGGCCGCGATCGCGGGCGCTGCAAAGCGGCCGAACCCCCGCACGGGCTCCCACGCAGGGACGTGGCTTCCGCAGCAGCCTGCGCCTCACCGCGGGAACCCCGGTTGTGGTCGCGATTCTTTTTTTTTTTTTTTTTTTTTTTTTTCCTGCCCGGCGTCCCCGTGCCCGCCCCGGTACCTGCCAAGTGCCCAGCCCCAGGGTAGGCATCTTCATCTTGTTGCTCAGCTCCACGCAAGGACTCGCCATGGTGCCCGCAGGTGTCCGTCTGTCTGTCGGCGCGTACCCACCACGGCCTTAAGGCGCGCGGCCGCCCCCCCTCGGCCCACGCCCGCCGCCCCGACGGGGCCGGCCGTCCCGTGTCCGTCTCCCCCCGCTCTCCCCCCCCCCCCCCCCCCCCCCCCCCCCGCGCCTCCGCTGGGGTTTCGTTTAGACGTGAGACCCAAAATGCCCGTGATTCTGAGATTGTGGTTGGCTGCAGAAGCCTGATGCTAAGAGGAATCGGTTGTTCGGTTTTGCACCGGAGGCACTAAAAGCAAATGCCCCAGTGATGAACTTGGCACTTCGCCCCCGTTCTCCTGCAGCGGAGAGAGCCTGGTGGGGCCAGGAGAATCACGGGGGGGAGGCAACGGGTGTCTGGGCCGCTGGAGGATTTTCCGTTACTCTCAAGTGGTGACAAAAGGACTGAAATGTCCGTCTTTTATCCTAGAAAATATGAGCCTCACTTGCTGTTCGCAGAATTCATTAAAAGGGATTGTGGTCTTACCTTGACATAGATTCTGGGCTCTGTGTCTTTGCTGAAGGGTGGGCTCCGGTCGCGCTCCCGGCAGGGCCCCCGCGGCAGCCCGTGTGACGGCGTCGGTTCCCCGTGCTCACTTAAAGTGTCAGCCAGCATCAGTGGGGTGCTGGGGGGCTGCGAGAAGGATTTGTGATCGCAGCTTGTCTGCAGGTACTCCTTAGTTCGAATAAACCCCCCTGCTTTTTATGTAGGGTCAAAATGCATTCAGAGGGCTGACATTTAAACGCCGCGGGAAACTTTGTACAAACAGTGTGCTGCAGAAATCATGAGCCCTGGGCCTGGAAGGGCTCGGCTACTTAGTGACAGCTGGCTTGAGAAAAAGGTGCTTCACGTTAGGAAGCTGCTCTAATTTCAACACCCTACCTTAGGTATCATGCAAGTCACAAAGCCTAGTCTTTGTGGTTTTCAGAATAGGGATTCTCTGCTTCTTGCGTCTTCTTTTTTCTTTTGCTTATATTGCTATAAAGTCCTCCTTGCTCACTGTTCACTCCTGACTACCAGTTTACTTGTCGTGCAAGTTCCACTGGTGTCTTCTTGTGAGTTGTACAGTGTGAGTGAATGAGAATCAAATATTTTATGCTTGGACCAATAACGTTTGCCTATCAAAACAGGGAGGCAACTGTGAATTATTGCGCCATTAGTGCATTTTAAGCACGAAGTTTGATGTGATTTGTTAAAATTTCTGTGGATTTGCATTATTTAAATTGCTTTTGCAGGACAGTATTTTCAGTTGCTTGGCAGATTCATATTCTGGGTTTGTATTTGAAAAAAATTTCTTCTGGCTCTCCTTGGCCTGGTTTCTAAGCCATTTGCTTAACCAAGCCTTATTGTCATCTTTCCGCTGCCTTGGATGTCATCACACTTTGCAGAATGAAAAGGATACCAATACCAAATTGATATGAAGCAGAGAGAGGGAAACCAAATGTAGGCAGGGAAACAAAATTTTCAAACTGACGTAACAACTCCAGTATGCTCAAACTAGAGCAGTGGGAGGAGTTCTCTTCTATTGAAAACAAATATGAAAAAACCCCATCAAACCAACCCCCCAAAAAAAGAAAAAGACAAAGCTACTGCAAGAGATGTGAAGAATCTAACAGAAAAGAGAGAGCAAGAAAAAAGACAGAAACTAATCTGTAGAGATTTTATAAAATCAATAATGGTACATGGATTTTAAGGCCAAAGGACCACGCTACTGCACTGACCTCTGATTACATTGACAAACCTTTACACCAAGCTTATGACATATAGCTACTGCTTAATCTATTATTAAAGACACTTGGGTACTACAGCAATAGGAGCTGACTAAAATCATGGAAAGAACAGACAAGTAAATATTGAGATTGAACTACAATTTGCCTTTAATTACATCAAATAATGATCTGAAAGGTATAAGAACCAACCATAATTGGCTCTATCTATTTTTTTTTTTAAACCAGGTACCTAGACAGAGTCTTCAACACTTTTCTTCCCTCTAAACCTTTCTTCTAAGATGTTAAAGATTTTGGAATTAACTTATTGGGGGCCAGGGAGGAGCAGTGAGAGATTTTGGCAGCTCAGCCGGAGGATGGGCTGGCAGGGTAGATCTGCTGGAATGACACAGTTACGTGTACAGACTTTTCTGTTCAAGCATTTCTGTTCTGCTTTTCCTTATTGCTTTACCTGCATGGAGAAAGACAGCTATCATCATTTATAGCCACATAAAACCTGAATTTATGGGAGTTTTAAAACCTTATTTTTTTTTTGTTTGTTTTGTTTTGTTTTGACTGGATACAGTATGAGTGATGACTGAGGCTCATCCACCTCAACGTTTTAGCTGAGGCACAGTGTTTTTACTCCCTGGAAAGCCTAGCAGCTTCCTGGAGCAATCTGTGTGCAGATACATGAGGTGACTTGTCTATAACCTTGTTAATAGTTTTCAAGGCATTGCTGTCACCTCACTGGATGTTTACTAGTATCTGCTTTTGAGTTGTTCTTTTTTCAGAGTGACTCTTCCAGAGAGTAACTGTGTTCCTTTGTGGTCAGCCTTTGCTAAAATACTGCCATGCAAAAAGAAAATCTCTTCTGTGGCTAGTCCAATGTTATTGGGAATGGTTTTGTTCAGATGAAAGCACTTAGAAAGTCCCAACATGAGGCAGCCTTGTTGTTAGTGTTCTTTGGGGAAGCAATGCGCATTATTTTCCTGAACTAACACTAAGGAGCCTGTCACAAATGTCTCCTTCTGCAGAGCTGATGAGTAGCCATATGCTACTGAGAAGGGGACAGAAAATGTCCAGGATGTGGTTTTAAGTTATATTTCGAAGAATGATGTGGAGAGTCAGTCACAAATATGAAATAATGAATAGTAGGAAGGTAAGTATTGTCATTTATATCTTAATAAAACTTTTTTTTTTTTTTTTTTTTTTTTTTTTCTGTGAGTCTAAAAGCCTACTGAACATCTTTGTAGAATTCAGTATGGGTGAAGATTGAGACTTATCCACAGAATCAGAGAAGGGTGAAGTTGGAAGGGATCTCTAGCAGTCATCTTGTCCAACTTCCCTGCTCAGGCAGGACCACCTAGATCAGGACGCCCAGAACTGTGTTCAGATGGCTTCTGAATATCTCCAATGAGGGAGACACCACAACCTCTCTGGGCAACCTGTGCCAGTGCTCGGTCACTCACATAGTAAAGTATTTCCTGATGTTCAGAGGGACCTTCCTCTGTTTCAGTTCATGCCCACTGCCTCTCCTCCCATCACTGGCCACCACTGAAAAGAGCCTGGTTCCATCCTCTTTGCACCTTCCCTTCAGGTATTTATGTACCTTGATAAGGTCCTCCTGAACCTTCTCTTCTCCAGGCTAAAGAGCCTTAGCTCTCTCAACCTCTCTTAACACCAGTCATGTCCCCGTGACACCCTGGGCAGCCTGACACCAGTTTTACCAACACTGAAGTGAAACTTTTCACCAAAACACTAAGACCACGGTTAGAAATTCATCTGACTTCAATCACCAGAGCTCCAATGAATCCCAAGCCAAGTATGTTGTGTTTCTCCAGAAGCATGTAGTTTAACTGTACACAGAAGAGCCTTGAGTTAAATCCTGTGAAGGCTTTCTTCAATTCAACTATTGCACAGTCTGATTGCTGTTTATTCCTTGCTTTTAGGGCTCGTCCTCTCTTCCTTTTCTCCTTTAAATTTTGGAGCTCTTCCATTGCGGTTCACTTTAGAAATGAGCTGACACAGCATCTTTGATCCAGGTAAATACCCCGACAGCTCTGACTGCCTGAGCAAAGCAGTATGAAGGGAATGACAGCAGCTGGTCACAGAGGAGAGTGTAGGAAAGTTGCTGTCTGTGACGAAACATACTGGTGTGGCTGTGTGTTGGGTTCCTCTGTGTGTGGGGGGGTTGGTAGCAGGGGAGGGGCCACAGGCAGGGCTCCTGTGAGAAGCTGCTAGAAGGTTCCTCAGCTCCAAGTTGGACCCGCTTCTGGCTGAGACTAAGCCAGCTAGTGATGGTGCTAGTGCCTCTGCGAGAACATATTTAGAAAGGGGAGCTTGCAGCAGAGGAGGAGGAGTAAGGGAAATACCTGTGCAAACATCAAGATCAGCTGAAGAAGAAAAAGAAGAAGGGGTGAGGAGAGGGGAGGTGTGCCAGAGCAGATGCCCGCCTGCAGCCCATGGAGGACTGCACTCTGGAGCAGGCGCCTGTGCCCAAGGAAGGCCGGGACTCTGAGGGAAACCCATGCTGGAGAAGTCTGTGCCTGAAGGACTGCAGCCCTTGGGATGGACCCACCCTGGAGCAGTTCATGAAGAGCTGTAGCCTGTGGGAAAGACTCATGTTGGAGAAGTTTGTGGAGGACTGTCTCCCGTGGGAGGGACCCCACGCTGTAGCAGGGGAAGAGTGCGAGGAGCCCTCCCCCTGAGGAGGGAGGGGCAGCAGAAACAATGGCTGATGAACAGACCACAACCCCCATTCCCTGCCTCCTGTGTGGCTGGTGGGGAGGAGGTAGAGAAATTGGGAGCAAAGCTGAGCCTGGGAAGAAGGGAGGGGTGAGGGGAAGGTGTTTTTAAGATGTGCTTGGATTTTCTCACTGTCCTACTCTGATTTGATTGGTAAATTAGTGGTGGTGGTGGTATTCAAATTAAAATTATGCTCTTTTTTTCCCAAATGGAGTCTGTCTTTTGCCTGTGACCATAATGGGTGAGTCATCCCTCTCTGTTATTGTTTCCCGAGCAGTTTGTTGTATTTTCTCCTCATCCCAGAGGGCTGGCATGGGGGGGAGTGGTAATGAGGGGGTGGTGGTGGGTGGGTGTTGGAGTTGGAGAAGGAGAGAGGGAGCAGCCGCATGGTACTCAGTTGTCCTCTGGGCTTAAACCACGATGGGCAGCGATCCAGCTCTTCTCACTCTGAAGCATTGATAGATTGTCAGATACCTGTCAGCATAACCTCATGCAGTTATTTCTGAATATGAACAATCAGATATGCCTGGGTGGCGTCCAGTAAATTACCTGAGAAGATATTTACTTTTAGTAGCTGAAAATAATTTATTTTTAAATGGCTTGGATGATGTCTTATTGCTGTCATTGCTGCTACAAGAGAGTTGACAGTCTTTTAGTTAAAGGCCTTATTAAGATAGATGCACTTGTGTCAAGAAGGAGCTATACTTATAAAATTTGAGTTAACCATGTTTATGTAAACAGAATTGTTTGTCTTTATTACACTGTTACACTCTATTTACATTTTTGTTTTCTTGTTCATCAACAGACTTCTTTAGATCAGACTTTTCTAAAGTCTTAAACACAGTGTTTACAGGTACAGAGGAGGGGTCCTGTGACTCTCTGCAGATCAGCTTCCAACTGCAGTTTTACAACCTCGTTTGGCAAGAGAAGACAACCATGTGCTGGAATCAATTCAGGGTAGGTATTATGACAACTTTATTTTCATTTATTTAATAAATCAAATTATTAGCAAAAATGGACTCTGTTAACAAACCCATTACACAGAATCCACATTTTCAATAGACTTAGGAAGAACAGCCAACTTAACTATGTTTTAAGTAAAGAGAGAAAAATTGGGGTTTTTTTTCGTAAAGAAATTATTTTACTTGGTCGCTTTGAGTGGCTTTGTGCTTCTTTTATACGCTTGAAGTATAAGGAAGCTTGAATAACTCTGTTATGAAGGAATGAAGATCACAGGCCTAACTTTCCCTAGATTGTTGGCAGGAGATTCTGCCATTCTTCCTTCAATTTTGGTATAATTTATTCTTGATCTTAAAGCTATTTCTTTAGCTAGATATATGTTCAAACCTCCTAATGTATTTATGTGGCCCCTAT